TACATTAGGTTGCTTTCCCTCCCCCTGTTGCTTATATCTGTTATGGGTCTGCTGTGTAACTGCAAGGACTGCGGGAAAGGTACTGAATCTTTATTGTTTTTATTCCTGTGACTCAAGTTCGCATATTGTGGACCATTTCTGAAGTGGGCTTCCTATGACACTGTCCTATTACAGCTGCCTAGTGCTGATCCATATCTTCTCTGCATCAGTTATAATGCTTGGCAGGAAAACAGCATCCCACTTTAATTTGGAATACAGCCTGCTTACAATTTCTCATTCTTCTTCCAAATGCAATTTATTGATGTTTGTATCTCTTCGTAGGTACTGCAATTCCACATTGATCATGTGCTGTATCTTGTTATTGTTGTTTATTATTCTTAAAAGAAGGCCTATAAATAAGATTGGATTGGATTTGCTCTGTGTCCTCCCCCAGAGGATGGGAGTGAAAGCAGTTCCAAAGCAGTGATGGATACTTTGACTATCAGAAGTACTTTTGAGATTTTTCAAATACACTCAAACAGCACGACAGTCTTGAGTCATTATCTGTTTGGAAAATATGAAGATAAAATTCACATGGGAAACCCTGATAAACCCTAGTGCCTAGTTCTTCAGCAGAATGTAGAATAGATATGACTATTTTTCTTCACCGTAGTTCATTCTGTTATTTAGAAACATTTCTAACATTAACCTTGTATTTCAAATCTGGTAGGTCTTGTTTTCAAAGCCACTGTATTATAGAGCCACTTAAAATTTCATTACGCTAGTCTTAATTATAGACAGAGAGGTTTAAGAGGTTTTGCTTTTACAGATTTCAATTAAAATAGGAAAACAAAGATATTGAGAGGCAAGATATTTTGTGGTACACCTTGAATCTCAAGGTTCTTTCATGTAGAAACTGAAGCAATATTCAGTCAATTAAATGAAAACTCAGAATGGCACTGGAATAGTAAGTTTTGAATGTATAACTAACCTAATAAGTGATACCATACAAATTAATTCACTGAGTGTGATTTTATTTTGGGTGATGTCATTCTCTCTTAAAAGTGAATAAGACAGCAGATTTTACTTCCGTTTCATATGTTTTTAGCTGTGGCTTGGCTGTCTTGCACCAGTTTTACCTCCTTTCCTTGTGATGAAATGCTCTGAATGTCTCTAATGCGATGTCCATCTATTTTCCAGTTGGTTCTCAGGTTGTTTCTAGCCTTTTCCCTTCTGTCAACTCACAACACTCGCATCACTGTCTCCGCTCATGCATCTGCCTTAGCTCATACCTGTGTGCTTCCTTCCTTCCTGAACAGATCAAGCTTGTCCCTGCATAAAGTGACCTGCCTCTCTGCTTTATTTCCATCATCGCCTTCAGTTAGAGACCAGAAATCTGCTTGGTCAGAATGCTTCATTGGGGCATGCTTTCCTTCATATGTTTCCTCTGTATTATTTCTGAATTTGTTGAGGCATTGTGTAAAGTTTGTGCTATCGCGCTATTGCGTTAAGTCTGTATTCATGCCTGAGTCTTGCTCATCCTTGACTGCTTAGATTTTTCTAGTTCTGGCTTTTCTAGGCCCTTTCTCAGGGGTTAAGGACAGAGAGTCTCTGATATGATTATTGATGTACACTAATTGTCATTCTCATTGTTAGTTAATTTTTGCTGATAATCCATATCCCAAATAAATTCCAAATTTATTTTGGTGTTGAAACCTCTTAGTTTGAGACATATAGATATTTTTATATAAATACTTATATATCTATATATAACTATATAGATAGGTACAGATAAAAAATTTCTTCTAGTCTTTGCAGCAACTTTTTATTTATTTCCATTCACATTCATGTCTGAGTGCAACCCTACTTATTCTGCTCAGCCGTTCTGTACCTTCATTCTCCTAGTAAGGCACTTCTGCAAATCTCAGTCTTTTTAAACAGTGTTCTTTCTGAGCTTCCAACTCAGTCTTTCTGAAAAAAAAGCAGAAAATAAACTATAAAATATTAAATTTACTCCATAAGCTTCTTGGAGAATCTGGATCAATGATACGTGTACATTATTTTCTGATGTAGGTTACCCTTAAAGTCTACGATTCATGTAGTACTTGAGAATTTTAAACTGCTGTTCCTCTTCGTGGAAAATTAGTGATTGTTTTTAGGCATTGTTTTTCTTCAATAGCTTCCTAGTATTAGCCATTGCACGCATGTTTTTTGTTTTTTTTCTTTCAGATAATCTGTCAGACTCTAAAGACTCTCCTCACAAAGAAGCTACTAAAACTCAGTCTGGATCTCCTGAAACAACAGCAGTAACTTCTTCTTCAGCCACGTTTGGAAAGTCGGTTCAGACACAGCAGCCGTGCTCTGTCAAAGCCTCTTTGTCTTCTGACATCTGCTCCGGCGTAGGCCCCGAAGGAGGCGATGTGAATACGAGCTCTGCCCAAGGTGATTTTTTTCATACCAACTGTTCAGCATGTCTTCCAGCACATGCTAAAATTAGTTTGCTTCCCTTATGCTTAAACTTTCAGGAGTGGTTTTCACTTCTAGCGATATAAAAATATGAACCTTTGGCAACCCAAAGGATTGGCTTATCTTTAAAAATATCATTGCAGTACTGTCAGAAAAACAAAATAAAGTATCTTACAAAATGTTAAGAGTCAACACTTACGAAGGCATACTAGTTTTTAGGAAGGAAATACGCTTTACTTTTACCAGCAGTGACTGACATCTTTTCTGGAGTCTGCCTTCTTGATTTGAGGGGGGGGAAGTGTAGAAGGACAGGAGATTGTTTCCTTTAGTTCCTTTTGTTTTTTTTCTTAGCCCCTTGATATCGGTAGACTCAGCGTTCCTCATTTTAAAGTATCAGTCCATCTTGGGTATGGAAAATTGCTGAGGACCAAGTTATGTTTGCATTATCTAAGGGGTTAAGGTCATGCATGACCTTGGTATCCCAGGTAAATGCCTGTAGAGCGATAGATGGGCTGCGTGCCCTAGGCCTGACTTTTGATACTTCTGTGCAGTGCACACCTCCACAGGCTTTGACTGATCTTGTTGCCACACGTATTGGAAGTTATAATGATGATTAAAATACCTTCCTTTCATTGCACATCCTGCCAAACTAATCTGCAAAATACCTATCTGTCCTCTTCTGCTGTTATTGCATCCTTTGTCTATGGTCAATTAACTTACTCCTCTTTGGCAAAGTTAAAATGGAGATTTGGATGTTTAACTAACAAAGCTGATTTGACTGATGGTATAGGACATCTGATCACAGCTACCTGTACTTTATAAGTGTCTTTGTTTTCTTCCCTTTATATTCATTTGCAGGCTGGACGGTTTTCCACCAAACGTCTGAGAGAGTGACCTATAAATCTAGTAGCAAACCTCGTACCAGATTCCTCAGTGGACCTGTGTCTTTGTCCATCTGTTTGTATTTGTTCTTTTGTATTTTATCACAGTCCATCTTTCTTTTACCACCTTTTTCCAAGTTCATCTTTTATATCTCTAATATGTTTGGCAGGATGCCCCTTTTTCTGAACCATCTTTTCTTTCTTTTTATATTTCTTTCTTTTAAGTAATCATCATGAACACGCCTTATATTAATTTTTCATATGAAAGCTTTTTTTGCACTGCTTTTGGCTCATGCTGGGCATCAAAAGCATGTGTGGAAGATCTCATCATTTATTATATAGCCTTATGGTAAATTTTACCCTAGACTTATCAAAGCTTTTGTACTTTATGTGATTTATGTTGAAGTAATTTTTTTATTTGCAATGTGGCAAATATACATGTCTGCTGTCCCGGTTCCAGCGACAACAAAAAGAAATCCATCCTTCTGTAGACGAATGGTCTCTTTCACACATGTTTGGACTATGAAGACATGCATGTAGCAAGCTGATACAGTACTAGAAGGTCACTGAAGGGTATAACTTCCATACAAGGGCTGTATTAACCCACTATACAGTACTGTTTATATCCACTCTATTTTCTTTAATTTTTTTCCTACTCTTTGCATGTGGAAATGCTGAGACGATAGTGCTCCAGCTAGTTCTTTCAAAATCTGTTTTCTAGGTGGGCTTTTCCCCATTCATTTATTTTAATTAGTTTAAGTGAGCTCTTTTTAATGCACTTGTGAGTAGTGGGAAGATCTGGTTACTCCAAAGGAGAGTGCCCTCAACTTTGTAATGTAAATTGATCTGGCTGAAGTACTACACTCAGTTTATTTTCTTATGACCTTATGTGACCTCAGAGATGAAGTCAATTAGCAGTTCATCAAAGCATAAAGAAGTAAAAAGTGATATCAGATTTTTGTATGATACTTTGAAATGGATTGCTAGGGTCCAGTATTTTTTATTTTAAATAATTGTGCACCTGCTATTTGTACCTTATTTCTATGATTTTTGAAGTAATTGGCAATTCAACCAAACTATATAAGGCTATTTAATTGAAACATGTAGACCTTTTTTTTCTAATCCTATATGCTGCTTTTTAGGCAAACAGATTTTGCTTGTACAATAAAGATATGTTGTGCTGAACAGGTACTATAGGCCACTTACATATAATGTTAGTGAGGCTAATGTTCTTGAGGAAATGTTTGGTTAATTAAATGTTCATTTGCATTAATATCAGATCTCCCATTGGAGTTATACATTGCTCATCATTATCCAAGTGGTACAGATCAAAGGCACAAGACCACTCAAATATATTCCTTCTATTTTATAAATAAACAATGTTTTTAAAAAGTTGATTTTTGTTTTGAGGTCCCTAAAAGTCAAGACACCCAGATTCATGAAATCTTGAGGGTTTTTTTTGTTTGTTTTTTTTTTACTGCTCAGCATACTGAACTTATTATCATGCAAGTTTTCAAGTTTTTAACAGCCACTGAAGTCCTGAGACAATTTTGCATTCAGGTGTTTTTCTAAGAACCTGAGAGGAATTCTCAGTGCACAAATTTTTCCATTTGATGTTATAGTGGACACAGTAGTTGCTTCTTCTGCACATATAATTCCCAGAAGTGATTTCATTCATCTTTCACAAAATTACTATTCGGTAGGATGTAAAAAGACAGGGAGATGGGAGTTTAAATAGATAAGTATTAAATAAAGAAAGATGTTTGGGTGCACGGATATTGTGAATGAAAGCAAGGGAAGAAGTAAATACTTCAGAACATAATGTTTGCCAGTGCCTAAATAACTCGGCACGACTGACTGATGTCCGTTCTCAGGCCGTGTGCTCTTGAGCAAAGTGTTTGGGGATGAGATCTGCAGTCCCCCGTCGCCGGGTCACCCGAGGGCAGGGACAGGACGGCAGGCCCCTCATCCTGAGGCCGCCGTCCCAAATCGCGGCACGTCGCTCAAAGCGGCGCCCGT